AAAAAAAAAATGGAAGTAGTTACAGGAAAAGTGGTTTTTCGCGTTCCAGGTGACTTTTATTTTTTCTCTCTTGCTCCTCCCTTTCAAGAGAGTAATTTTGTTATTTGACATTTTTACAGGTTTTTACACGAAGTTATCTGGAACGCAACTATTATAATCCAGGCATTACACTTTTGTTTAGGTACTATGGCATAAATGAGTAGTTTGACTATTAGTACTGAGGACTTTCTGATGACAACATTGAAGGAAAAGTACACAAATTTTTCCCATGGTCTGAACAAAAATGAATACTTTGATAAGCAACTGCCGTCCCTAAATTGGAGCGCTAAGCGTTGCGTTATCCATTGTCGACGAGTGTCAGCGCGCGCTATCCCCAAATCAACGCGTCGTAATTTTTGACGTTTTCTCAGATCCTCTCGTTTTTATTCTCGTTTCCTCTTTCACTTTTTTGTCCTTTCTCTTTCTTTCCGTCTTCCGCATCCAACTTCAACACGTAACGCCCTGTCAAAAATGAAAATTCCATTTGCTCGGCGTTAGCGCCGCGTTATTGTGGGATGCTTCATACAAATTGTATGGGCATGAGGATTTTTGACAGTTGTTTGGCGCTTGACGCGCCAATTTAGGGATGGCAGCAAGAATGATAGAATACAAGATTGCGCCGATTGCAGCAGAATTCGTGAGAGTAATTTTAGCGTGACGTCATCGTATAGTTGACAACTGAGAGCGGCGAGAATGAGGGCGACTAGTGATGTGCTGAATTGTCCCCAATACTCGGTACCCAATACATAAAAAAGATTTCGGTACCCTATACTTCCTTTTCGGTATCCGATACCGATTATTTACATTAAATCCTCGCCATTATATGCATTTCAGGTTTAGAAAAAACTTTCATTACTAATTTATATGATATCGGCTAAAACACTTGAACTTATCGCCACAGAAAAATATTATTTTATCAGTTTTAACCTTAGTCGATCCAAGGTTCAAGAAAAATACTTTGACGGATGAAGAAGCCTTTCAGGGGAGAGATTCTGTAGCCAGTTAGCGACAAGTTTCGGATCGATATCGCACTTGTTGACTTACAAATATTTGATATCAAACGTCGACAAAACCGATACCGATTCGAAAATTGTCGTTAACTGGTTACAGAATCTGTCCCAGGCCTACAAAAACGATATCGTCCGATTCAGCTGGAACAAAAATGCTTCAAACAAGTAAGGGTTTCTCTGTATTATAGCATCGAACCGACATATATACATCTTTCATTTGAATCAGTAAAAAAGCTCTATTGGCTCTTACATTCGGGTTTTGTTAGGCGTTTTTTCCATATTTTTGGCCTATGTGCGCTTTTATTCGAAACCTAAATGTTTCGGTACCGAGTATCGAGAGTATTGGGTACTTAAAAGTATTGACTCAGCACATCACTACTGCTGTCTTCTCTACTATGACGTCACCAAAACAGCTGATTCTGTCAAAATCACTGAGAGCCGAGCATCGTACAGTTTCATAAGTAAAAACACTATCAGCTGATTGCCAAAAAATGCCTACAGCTGAGATCACCTGTTTTTTGGCATGTGCTCTTATCTTTTAAAATTTCTTTCATTTCTGTTACAATTTCTTTTATTTCTATTACAATTTATTCAAAATACACTAACACACTCAACCAAAAACACCAATACAATAACTAAAAACACACCTACAGCCTGCCAAACACACACCTACAGCCTGCCAGAAAAAACGGTAAGAAGAAGAGTTACTTTACTTATGGAACTGTACGATGGAGCCGAGTAGCGGTATCATCGGCGCCACCTCTGTATTCTCTCCACCGTGTTTGATAAGCACTTTTGTAATTAGTGATAATGAAAAAAAATCAAATGTTACCTTTTTGGCTGAATACCTTTTTTACGCCATTGTAAAAATGCAAAGCTAGCAACACTAACAGCTGACATTTGTTTTGAAGCCTTCACTCCAATTTTTTCTATTAGGTCTATTTGTACAGTTTATTTTTCCATGACGATATTAATTTTCAAAATTATTAATTAAAAACATTTTAAGCAATAATTTCTTTACAAAAATGTCTGCTGGTGCTAAAATCGCGTTGGCGCTATCCATTGGATTTTCAGCGAGCGTAATTGGCTATGTACATTACAAACAGAGCACAGACCGGTAAGCATTTAAGATATACACTTACTCACAAAAGTGAGCGTACGGCGCTTTTTTGTTAATATTCGCAATGTTTTACATGCTAAATCTTTTTGTGAATTTTGTATTAAAATCCAAGAATTAGTGTACGAAAATTAAGAAAAATCTGCCAAGTTCCACCAAAATCGCGAACTTTTTAATACGAATTTCCAAAAAGAATTCAGGTATGCAGTTTTATAGCCGATTTATTTTTAGTATAATAATGTGCAAATTTCAAATGTCTAAAAAATCGCGTTGACTTAAGATTTTGTTTTGCTGACTGTCCTACGCATTTTTGTCCATTTAAATAATTTTCAGAATTGCTTTTATATGAAAAAATTCGAAGGGCATTCAGCAAAACATTTCTCAAATATCAACGCGAATTTTTAGACATTTGAATTGTGAATTCTTTTTAGAAATTCGTATTAAAAAGTTCGCGATTTTGCTGAAAAAGATTTTAGCATGTAAAACATTGCGAATATTAACAAAAAAAGAACCGTACGCTTAATTTTGGGAGTAGCTGTATGTATGTACTAAGCTTTAATATCAAGCACTAAAAAATATAAACCTTCCTGATTTTACAGAGCACGCCTTCACGAGGGAGTGGTACGCGACATTGAGCGCCAGCAACGTCGCAAAACTGAGAATACATACTTACTGCAAAAACAAATAGATCTCACTAAACAGCTTAAGGATATAGAAGCTTCCAATCAAAATCCCGAATTTAATAAGAATTCAAACATTCAGTAGCTTCGTGTAATTTCTTAAAATCATGTTAACTCCATTGAACAAAATAATTTTTGAAAATCGCCATAATAAAACACATTTCCAGTGGTAGATATTTATTTTTCAATATAATGGTTTACATTTTTTACAGCAGATGTACATTTTCTGTTATGATTATAGTATGGTGACTTGCAAAATGCATGCTATTGTAACTTCTTGATTTGAAAATCATTAAAATAGCGATGTTGAAATTACATAGCGCAAAGTTCAAAAACAATTACGTGCTATTGCCAGAGAACAAGCTGAACGGAATTTGAATAGATGTTTTCCACCGTAACTGTCTTAAAAACTTTTTGAATAGAAAGATAAGGTTATGCATAATTCTTTCAATAACGTCCTTTACGCCCGTCTCCAGTACCACCACCAATACTACGTCCTTCACGACTGCGCGAACGACGGCGATCGCGGGAGCGGGAACGGCGACGACGTGGTGAACGGGAACGAGACCGTGATCGCCGACGTCTGGAGTATAGGTATCTGTAACAATGTGAAAATATATTATTGTACTTGAAAGCAATTTAAAATTTATACCTTCTCAATTCTCTGGAAATCGGTTTTAAGTGCATGAAATTGCAAAATCCAGAACGTGTGCATTCACCCATTTCGTATTGACGGCAGCACGCTTCACGGAAGTCAGTCACCGGCGACAACTCTGAATATACCGGACGTCCGCCAAACCAACGATTATTTAAATCATTTGCAGCCTTTTCAGCATCCTGCTCATGGCGAAATTTGATATAGACATTTCCAACTAGGTGGTCTCCCAAATTGTCGCATACGTTCATTTCCTCAATCTCACCATACTTATCTTCGCATTCAACAAAAACATCTTCAAAAAAGTTATCGTAATGCTCTTGCATTTCCTCGTCCGAAACATTAGCTACTAAATGTGAGCCATCTGCTGATTTAGCCGAATTTTGCGGATTGACGTATAGATTTTGTAGCAATACAGTTTGGGAAAAAGTTGGTTTATTGTGTATACGGGAGCAGCGATCCCCATGGCGACATGCTCCAATTTTAAAATAAAACGAGCAGTTTACTCTGAAACATAACCATTGCATTAAATAAAAATCGTTTGTATAGACATCTCTACATTTCCCACTCACTTGTCTTTCTCAGTTCCGAAAATGGACGCCAAATACTCAGCCATGCTTGTCGGCCTATGCGAAAATCCCTTTTAATCAAATTTCCAGTCCAACTTTTGGTTATTTTTATAATGGGTACAAGATGGCCCAAATGTGTGGGGAAACCTTAGATATTTCGTACACCACTTAATAAACCACAGCTTAAAAAGTTGGTAAAAAGACAAATTTCTTTTTAACACCGCTTCATCGGCATTGACAGCCGTAACTTCTGCTTGTAAATTTGATAGTGAATTGTAAATGTTGGTAGTACTGATGCTGAACAGGGCTGCAAACGAAGTACAGATTGGTCCAAAGTTTTGGAAATGATTTAAAAATTTTTTACGCTCATGATGTGAAAAATATTAAGATTGTTTAAGATATTTTGCAAAGTTTTTACACTATGCTTGCCATAAACCTGTTTTTGATTTGTTCGGTAACAAAAATTTGAGTTTTATTTTATTTATCGCAATGAACGTAACATTTTACGTTCTTTGTCTACAAAAGTTGACGCCGTTCTTCGAATTAGCAATTGCAGCTCTGGCGCAAATTTTCGACCTGTCATTTGTGATTTCGAAGTGTTTCTTTTAACTTCTAGAAGGCTCCAAGTTCATTTCGCAGATCAAAAAACTTTGGAATTAAAAGCAGCACGTTTTTCAAGTGAAATACTTGGTTCGATAAAAATAAATTGTTTTTATAAAAACGTTTGTGATCCATTAAAGATAGAAAGCTTTCAATAACCAAGCAACATTAGAGATGGATAAAGTAAGAATATTCTTCGCCTTGCACATTGTGAAAATTTAAGTTTTCGCAAAATGTGAATAGGAAGGAATGTGCTCATCGGCATATGACATTTTTTTTTACAGGTGAATGATCTCAAAGAAAAAGGAAATCGGGCACTTAATGCGGACAACTATGATGAAGCCATTGCAGCCTACACGGAAGCTATTGCTTTAGATGATCAGAATCATGTGTTGTACAGCAACAGATCAGCGGCTTACGCAAAAGCTGGAAAATATGAAAAAGCTCTGGAGGATGCAGAGAAAACAATAGCCCTAAACCCATCATGGCCTAAAGGTTATTCCCGTAAAGGAGCTGCAGCAGCAGGTTTGAAGAACTATCGGGCCGCTATGGAAGCATACGAAGCAGGTAAGTGACTGTGTGATTCATGTTGTCAAAACAATATGAATAGATGGAGGGGGTACGGGGCTATTGAATACCGTCTGTTGCATTTTCTCGAATGTTCTATGTTAAAACAAAGAATTATGTTTTTACTTTAATTGGAAGGTTTAAAATATGATCCCCAAAATGCCGTATTGCAACAAGGTATTCAAGAAGTCACTTCCACGGTGTTACAAGCGATGTCAGGGCGTTTCCCTACGCCCATGGATGTGGATCCCCATTCTCCACCACCTAAGGCACCGGAGCCCAAAAATGCTGAGCCTCGAAAGCCGGCGGAACCAAATGTGGATGAAATGAACGAAGAAGAACGCAGAAAGTATTTCGCTAGGAAGGAGAAGGAAGCTGGCAACGCTGCTTACAAGAAGAAAGATTTCGAAACGGCACTTAAACATTACCGAGCAGCATTGGAACAAGATCCAACTGATATAACCTTTCACAACAATATCGCTGCTGTTTATTTCGAGCGTAAGCAGTACGATGAATGCATAAAAGAATGTGAGAAAAGCATTGAAGTTGGCCGAGAAAATCGCGCAGATTTTAAATTAATAGCGAAAGCCCTGGCTCGCATCGGTAATTCATATCGCAAAATGGATGACTACAAACAGGCGAAAGTGTACTTCGAAAAAGCCATGTCCGAACATCGTACACCCGAAATTAAAACTTCTCTTAGCGAGGTAGAAGCTAAAATTAAAGAAGAAGAACGACGCGCTTACATTAATCCTGAGTTGGCTGAGGTGGAAAAGGAAAAGGGCAATGAATTGTTCAAGAAGGGTGACTACAGTGGTGCAGTAAAACATTACTCGGAGGCAATCAAACGAAATCCCGATGACCCCAAGCTGTACAGCAATCGCGCGGCATGTTACACCAAGTTGGCCGCTTTTGATCTTGGTCTGAAGGACTGTGAAACATGCATCCAATTAGATGATAAGTTTATTAAGGGTTACATTCGAAAAGGGAAAATTTTGCAGGTATGTTGGCGTTTGCAACAATGTAGTCTAAAGATATTAATCGGTTACGTGTATTCAGGGTATGCAAAAGTCCTCAAAGGCATCGGCAGCTTATCTTAAAGCTTTGGAAATCGATCCACAAAACGCCGAAGCGCTCGAAGGATACCGTCAGTGTTCGATATCGTATCAACGCAGCCCTGAAGATGTGATGAAGAATGCACTAGGCGATCCCGAAGTTCAACAGATTCTCAAGGATCCAGCTATGCGCGTTATTCTGGATCAAATGCAGACTGATCCCAAGGCGGCTAAAGAGTATGTTAATGATTAACTTATTTCTACAACTTATATTTTTACTATATGTTAATATATTTCTAGTCATCTGCAAAACCCAGCGATAGCTGACAAAATAATGAAGCTCATTGAGGCGGGCATTGTTCAAATTCACTAAACAACCGATTTGCCTAGGGGGAAAATCATTAAAAACAACGTTAAAACTAACAACTATAGTTAACCGAGTGCTGAGATGCAAGTTTTCAAGAAAATTACACCAACCAATAAACTACATATGCATTTCCACGTCCTCCTCTTAACAAAAAATAAAAGCATACATAAACTAAAAGCATTAAAAGAGAAAATAAATACATGAAAGGAATCAATCGCCACTTGGCTGGGTTGCTTACGCTTTTCATAATTTAACAAATACATACTTTTATATAATTCAAAACTACCTGGAAATAAGCCGTAGATTTATTTTTACGTGGCGTGTGGGGCTTTCTTTGAGTTTTCCTACTTTATAAAATATAAGTCTCTAGTTTTAAACTAAGTGATTGAGAAAAATTGTAATTTCTTATATTGAAATGCAAACGAAATAGTTATACATACATACATATATATATTTGCGCTTTTATGAGGGCAAATGATTGGGAAAAAAATTAAAATAAAGAAAACAACTGAATTAAAGTTTGCATCGCTGATTGATTTTTTTATTGGGTTGACGTTGGAAAATTAAATTTTAAAAGCTCGAACTTTTTTTAAAGGCATTTTTTGTCGTGATGATCTTGTACGTATATGTGGCATTTTATTAAAAGGGCTACGGTAAGTTTAGGTTTGACTTTGAATAAAGATAAAAAACTATGCGATCGCCGAATCCATCGTAGTCCGATTTTCGTGAAATCTGCGAAAATGCGATCATTGAATGCGAATTGCTACGAACGCATGCATTCAAAGTATATGCTAAGTCCGTAGCTATTCGGATTCAGAGATAACATTTTCGTAGATCTCACGAAAAATCGGACTACGATAGATCTAGCCCGGGACAAGTTTCTCTTGAAAAATTTTATATTTGTTCAAGCTTCTATTAATAGGGCATCTTAAACTACAACTATGGCTATTTAGTGGTTAAGATATTGGGCCTATTCGAGGCACGTAATGAAAGCATCAATACTTGAGCGCTGATAGAAATTTGCATGATTGTTGCAACTTCCTAATTGATAAAACGTTGCTAGAAATTCACACCGAATGTGATGCTTTGTTAATTCGCTCAACACTGCGGTTGTGATTGCAACTCGAACAAGCCTATTATTTGGGAGCCCACTGAAATATTGCTTTAAGGGGAAAATGGCCTATCTCGAGATGTCGTTTTATTAAAATGCCACATGCTCCATGGTAGTGATGGTACCTATGGTTTCATTTTGCCACCACTATCGAATTTTTCTAAACACTATCGATAGTTGTATGTATGTTGTTCACATTGTTGGAATTGGACTATAAAAGATGCACATGCCTACATATACATATATGTATGTTGTGAACTCCTTTGTTTGTAAACATGTGCTTCATGGTTTTTGTTATAAAATGTGTTATTGAAATTTAATTATTTAAGATTACGATTTCTTCCTGGCTGTTGTTGTCTTATATAGTAAAAGAAACGAAGAAATTTACAGGCGATGGAATCCGTCATATCACTTGCCAAATTTTCAAGGACCATAAAAAATGTATTCAAATGTCGTGCAGAGGTCATCAACGACTAAATTACCATTTGTATGAAAAAGTCATGAACGAGCCCAAAGTCATTGAAGCCTTAATATGGCCGTACAAGACACTTAAGTAAAGCCCAAAATACAAGAACGCAGTGGCAGTGGCAGCGGCAGTTTTTCGAAATCAGCTGTTTTTTAGAAAGTGTGGTGTCCAATGAAGCGACTCACAATAGAGCAGTGGCAGCTAGCAGTACTGCTCAGTTTAGCCCAAATTCTAAATTCACTGCCACTGCCTTCATCGCAGCCATGATTCAATAATACAAGGTTAGATAATTATTGACAGCTGCGG